TTACTAAACATGATATCCTTCTCCAGCGACTAGTCCCTTGTCACTCTGGGCAAGTTACTAAACCTGAGTGCTCCAGTTTTCTCTTCTGTAAAATGGCCATGATACTTGGAGTATCTACCACAAAGGTTCTTGTGAAGATTTAAAACACAAAGACTAGGAATGACTCATGTATGTTAGCAATTTTATTCATATAAGTTATCTCTGTGTGGTAAAATGATAGCAATAAAATGAAAAGCTTACAGGGTGATTGTAGACTTTATCTGATATATATTCTAAGATTCTAATAAGAGCAAGGCCCTGAGATAAGAAATATGGAGAATTCAAAACAACAGATAACATGGGCATCCTGGAAAAAACTATAATGTTTACTTTTAAAAAAGGTGTAAGGTTAATGTGTAATATTCAACTAAAGCTAGACATGTCAAGATGTATGTTATTGTATAGTGGTGAGTCAGTTCTGACTCAGAGCAATCCTGTATAGTATTTCCAAGCAGCAGCTGGTAGGTTTTAAACACCAGCCTTGTGATTTATAATCCAGTGCTGATCCCACAGTATCACATCAGGGCGTCTCAAGCTGTATGGTGGTGGTGGTGTGCCACAATGTTATAGTGATTCTCTATAGGATTTCTGAGGCTGTAAATCTTTACTGGAGCAGAAAGCATCATCTTTCTCCCATGAAGCACCTGATTGATTTGAACTGCTGACCTTGTGGTCAGCAGCCCAGCTCATAATTCACTACACTACCAGGACTCCTTCTTCCTCAAGATGTATGTTGTTGTTAAGTACCGTTGAGTCGTTTCCAACCCATAGTGACACTGTATATGGTTTCCGAGGACCAGCTGTTAAGCCTGAACCACCGATCTTGCAGTTCAAACCAACTTTGAAGTCTAGTGCATTAACCCACAGCACCACAGCAGGACTAAATATCCTTTAAAAAGGAATTCTAACAATATGATTCATATAATCAATGTCATTGAATTGTACATGTAACTTGTTTTCAGTGACTCTTGTTTTGTTTTTAGATGGATGATGACAGAATGGACACCTTGTTCACGAACTTGTGGAAAAGGGATGCAAAGCAGACAAGTGGCCTGCACCCAGCAACTGAGCAATGGAACTCTGATTAGAGCACGGGAAAGGGACTGCACTGGGCCTAAGCCAACCTCTGCCCAGCGTTGTGAAGGCCAAGACTGCATGACGGTGTGGGAAGCAGGAGTGTGGTCTGAGGTGCAGTACATGCCTCATTGCTTTTCATTTTCCTTCTCTGACTTCTGATTTTTTAAAATTGTGAGTCCTGGTGTGGTGTTTTAGGAAACTCACTGAACCAGAAGGTCAGTTTGAACCACGAGTATAGACCCTGAACTCACCGGCCACTCATCGGAAACCCTATACAGGGTTGCTATGAGTCAGAACCAACTGGACGGTGAGTAACAAAAATATATATAAGCTAAGTACTGTTCAGTTGGTTGCGACTCCTAGTCACCCTGAATAGGGTTTCTGAGGAGCGACTAGTAGCTTTGACCTCCCAAACTTGTGGTCCGGTGCTGATTCTACAGCACCAGGAGTCCTGGTATAATGTTGTAGGGTAAGCACTGAACTGCTAACCGAAAGGTTGGCAGTTCAAACTGCTCCTTAGAAACCCTACAAAGGGTTGCTATGAATTGGAACCAACTCAATGGCATACAACAGCAATATTTTTCTTTTTTTTTT